TGCACCATGCCACCACGGACCCCTCTGCAGGTGGTGGGCCCACAGGAGTGACTGCCCACGTCGTCCATTCGGGCTGAGCCCGGCCGGGCCCGTGGGCTAAGGCCCGGCCACCAGGCGCTCGCCTACGAGCCCCGACCCCAGGCCTGGCTCCAGGGTGGGGCCCCGGCTGCGCCATGCCGGGCGACGTCACTGGTTTCGTATGAGTGCTGTCCATGGTGTCTTCTGGACTGCTCTTTGTCTGACTCGTCACCCGAGACCTGTCTGCCATGGGAGGCCCTACCAGGGGCATGAAGCCCCAGACAGCATAGCTCCCAGGATCATCCGAGTACTCAAACTCCCCCACCACGTTAAGGTGGCAGTCCAGGAGGGATTCTCAAAGTTTATCATTTCCATAAATAGTTCACTCGTATTTTCATTTATGCGCCTTCTTCGAACAGTTGCAGAGTCCACTGGTGGTTTGTTAGTGAAACACATGTCAAAAAAAACACAGTACAAATTACATTTCATACTAAGGTCTGGATTTGCTTCATTGTGCTCCGTTAACAGGTGGGAGGGGTTAACTCCTTTTGCAGATTGGAACGATTGGATCTGAGTTTACCGTGACGTATGTAATGCGCCCGAGTGTGTTGTTAGCATTAGCATTTAGCCTAGCCATCTCCTTTGCTGCTAACGGAGCCCGTGGGGAGTAGCGCCACAATCTTGACCAGCGATTACATTTGCTAAACATTCCTCTTGCTCCTGCTTCAATTTCTTGATAGAACCAGACCAGATTACTTTACTCTCGCATTCTTCGCCATTACGAAACAACAACCTGCCCGTTCGGCGCAAACTCTTGACGTCACCGGCATCGACCTACAACGCGCTCTCCGAGTAGCCGGTTGAAATACGACCGATTGTAATCGCTAACATGGGGACCAGGACCAGACCCAGACGCTACATGCAGTGAAATGATGATTGAGCGGAGTGTACGGATGGCTATGGCCAGGCTACAGCAGAAGTAGAGGCAGAACCAAAAAGTCTGGAGGTGGTTTGACCAAATGGATTACATTTACGGACATCGGCTAACACCGGCTAACATGCTAAAACCAGCTAACACCAGCTACACCAGGAGAGAAGCCAACTCTGCCTGATGAGTGTCTGTCTTCAATCAAATGCAAAAGTATCTGGTCTTATACTGAACATGTGTCTGTGGTTCTAAATCAGCTAAAGAGGTGTTGGTGTTATGTGTCAAATCTATATCTTTTACTAAACGCAGTCAGAGTGAATCATGGTTCAATAAAGACAGTTGTGTTTCTGCTAAATACTGGGTTGAAACTCGATTTTTTTTTCTTGGTTAGAGATTGAAAGCATTCATTTCGGAATCATAATTGATGTTCGCTGACGTGAGATTGTTCTGGTATCGACTCGCCCGGTTAGAACCAGGGCCAAACCATTGATAAAAAGTACCGGGGAGCGGCTGAAGCGAGCGGTAGAAGCGCCCGCAAACCAGGGAGAGTCGAGTCCAGCCCTTTAGTACTGTACGAGTCAATTTCTGTCATTATCATGTTGATGACATTTACAATAAATCTGTCTGAGAAGAGTTGTGTGTGTGTGTGTGTGTGTGTGTGCGTGTGCGTACTGTACGTGTGCGTGCGTGTGTGAGTAAGGGATGGGGTGATATTTATGTAGTGCACATTTGTATGAAGTGGCTCTTTGCTTTAACACAGTAAAAAAAATTGGCTTTAGTCTCTGACTGGTTGGCCACCCCTGGTCTATGGCATAGACTGTAAAGACATAATTACTGAGAGGGGGTTGTGACCAAAACAGCGCTCTGCCGTGTCAATAGCTTGGAATACTGTTTGAGCGCTGTTTGAGCGCTGTTTGAGCGCTGGTCTCTGTGACGTCAGGACAGAGCGCTGTTTTGGTCACAACCCCTGCTGTAATTACTTCACAATAGTCCAGCAGAGGGCGCTGTTGGACAAGACACTGAGCTGCAACAAAAACCACCTGAACCCATGTAAAAAGAGAAAATATTCCTAAAAACAGAAGAAATAATATTCGAATGACATGTTAAGTAAGTAAGTAATCTTTATTTATATACCGCCTTTCACAGAGTCAAGCGTTTTACAATTATTATTGTTTTGGGCATTTGTCTCTCACTCCACACAGATGGGAGGGGGGCCAGTACAGGAGGCGCATGCCAGATCTATTGTACATGTTTTTAGTGGTAGGGGAAACCGGAGCACCCGGAGGAAACCTACGCAGACACAGGGAGAAAATGCAAACTCCACTCAGAAAGGCCCTGGTCCGATGGGGATTCAAACCCAGGACCTTCTTGCTGAGAGGCAAGAGTGCTATTCACTCAGCCACCATGCCGCCCCAGCTTGTTGATCGGTGTGCTTGAACAAGAGGATATGTAAATGTTTATTTCATTCAATAATAATTATATTTACAAATTAAAGAGTTGAAGTGAATTGAATCTCAAACACATGAAGCAGAGGCGCCATGTTGGGTATGTAAGTGAACTCTGAATATTTAATTCAATTCAATTTATTCGCCTAAATAACAACAATAGTTATCTCAGGGGACTATTCAAAACAGTGAAGTTTGCCAACATAGATCAGAGAAAGGTTGTGTGTTCGATCCTCCGTCGAGATCTACTCCAACTGCTCCCATTGATCTTTGCTGTCATTGTGTCCTTAGGCAAGACACTTAATTCCACTTTGCCCGAAGCCCCCGCTGAAAGTCCAAGGCCATGTCTTTTCTGACGGATGGACCTGTGGACCTACCACCTGCCGGAAGATTCCGACCCAGAAATGGGATAATAAAGGGGGGGTAGAAATGAATGAATGGGAGAAAAAGAGTGTTTGGGATGCGACCTCTGCTTCACTCTCAGCTCCGTGTGTTTGGGATGCGGCCTCTGCTTCACTCTCAGCTAGGGTTGCCACGATTTCTAATTTTGGAGTCACGATTATTGTGAGATAAAATATTGTGGTTTCACGATTAATCACGATTATCGACATTTTGAAAGAAAATCAACTCAGATTGTTTTTTTTTTGTCATTGAAATGTTTTATTAACACTTGAACTTGTAAACATTAACATTCACTGTTTAAAAATAAATAAAAGGCTTGAGGTAAACGTTTTATAAAATATAAACAAATAATAATAAATTAAGTTCGTAAAGTGTACTTTACGAACTGTAGGAACTTTTTAGATTTGAAGACATTAAGGCATCCATAATTGGAACAAATTTAGATGTGTTATTTTTTATAACCATTAACTAAACTTCTCAACAAAATCTATAATTGAAGAACGAAATATTTAGCAAAAGTACTTGCAGAATATATCTTTTCAGTCCAAGTTTTGATGCAAGAATGTAAGTATGTTCACATTCTCAGTGCTGAGCCTGGACCGCTGAGGGCAAACGATGTGGCCACTGGTGCTGAATACTCGTTCAGAGGGCACACTTGTGGCAGGAATGCAAATGTACTTTTTTGCTACTTTGGAGAGAAGAGGCATTTCGTCCATATGCGTCTTCCACCAAGACAATGGATCTGCTTCAGCACTGATTATTGGCAGTGATAGGTAGAGTTTTAACTCTGCCTCAACTTTTTCCTGAGATGCTAAGGGTGCACTTGCTGGCGTGCGTGATTTTGTGATTTGCTGCAGGAGTCCTGACAGTGTTGTGCCTTTCCTCTTAGACGATCCAGAGCTGGTCCCTTCTTGTGCACTGTCATCATCATCCTCAGATATGGTTTCTGCGTGAGGCAGTGCTTGTGATGTTCCCGGACCTGTATTTGGGGTGATTGCAACAGCTTCCTCTGCACATTTCTTCTTTGTATCCTCTAGTTTTTCAGAGAAGTTGCCCTTAAACCTTGGATCAAGAAAACATGCAATATCCAGGACCATTTTCATCTCTTCTGTATATCTCATCTGAAGTAACAGGTCATTTCTTACTGCACTCTTCATCGCTTCAGTAAGTGCACTGTCTTCTTCCTTTGGACTTAAAATGTGCCCATTTATGTGTACGAGCACGGGCTTTAAAGAAGATAGTGTAACTTGCTTCTCTGATGCCATTACATCTATCAATATGTTTAGTGGCTTCAGAAACTGGTTTGCCTCCTCCATGACGGTGATATCTGTATCTTTTGGCATTAAATGCCATAAGCTTCTGTCCCCTACCAAAACAGCACAGACTGCCTGCTGCTGCTCCAAGAATCTGGAGATCATCTCAAATGTGGATCCCCACCTTGTGACCACATCATTTATCAGGGCATGTGCTGGGATGTTAAGCTCCTCTTGTTTCTTCTTTAGTTCTCTCTTTTTTTTCCAGCTACGCGAGAAACCTTGCACTAAGTGACGGCATGCTCTTATGGCTTTTTCAACTCTTTGGATTTTGAGCACCTTGCTGATAGCAAGATTTAGGTTGTGCCCAAAACAGGAAAACCGCAGGAATTTATATACCTAATTGTTTTTGTAGTAGTAGCCATCATCATAGCTAGTCTAGGTGCTATTTCTGCATTTATTTTGTTGACTAAGGACACGTGCTACTGTCACTTTAAGAGCTTCTCTTCGAACATCTTCGAGATAATCATCCTTTGCTGTATCAGATTTGAAGTATTTCGCTGCCACTTTCCGACGACAGGATTTGCACGTTGGAAAACCATCAGCCAAAACAGAATCTTGCTCATCTTTTGGATACCCAAAGTGATCCCACACTGCTGACTTCAGTCGTTTTTTCGGTGGATACAACTCTGTGGGAGCTTGTCCTGCCATCTCCAATTCAGCGGTGAGTCTACTCTGCTCCGTGTGCAGCGGCCCCGTACTGCACTTCGCGCGAGAGTTTTCCGTACCAGCCATTTAAAATCCTTAAGGTTAACCTACCGTGGGCTTTTATAATCGCGATTACCGTAAAACCGGTTAACCTCGGCAACCCTACTCTCAGCTCCATGTGTTTGGGATGCGGCCTCTGCTTCACTCTCGGGTCAATGTGTTTCGGATGCGACCGCTGTCGCACTCTCAGGTCCATGTGTTTTTGGGATGCGTTCTCTGCCTCATTCTCAGGTCTATCTGTTTGGGATGCGGCCTCTGCTTCAGTCTCAGGTTCATGTGTTTGGGATGCGGCCTCTGCCTCACTCTGGGGTCCATGTGTTTGGGATGCGTCCTCTGCCTCACTCTCAGGTCCATGTGTTTGGGATGCGGCCTCTGCCTCACTCTGGGGTCCATGTGTTTGGGATGCGGCCTCTGCTTCACTCTCAGGTCCATGTGTTTGGGATGCGGGCCCTGCCTCACTCTCGAGTCCATGTGTTTGGGATGCGGCCTCTGACTCACTCTCGGGTCCATGTGTTTGCGATGCAGCCTCTGCGTCACTCTCGGGTCCATGTGTTTGGGATGCGGCCTCTGACTCACTCTCGGGTCCATGTGTTTGCGATGCAGCCTCTGCGTCACTCTCGGGTCCATGTGTTTGGGATGCGGCCTGTTTACATACCGCCATGCGCGGACGCGCGCGAGGCTCATAGTGCACTTGCAGAGCAAGTACTGTGTATGGAACGTTTATACCCGGACTCTCTGATTATTATCCTGGGGGATTTTAACAAGGGAAACTTGAGCCAGGAATTACCCAAATACAGACAGTTTATCAAATGCCCGACCAGAGAGGAGAACACTCTGGATCAGGGGTGCTCACACTTTTTCAGCATGCGAGCTACTTGTAAAAGGATCAAGTCAAAATGATCTACCTACTACAAAAATGCAAATCATATATTTCAAAAAATATTCTTTATATCTACAATGTATGTTTATGTACATGCAAAACCGCATGAGCCAATATAGCACAACACAACTACCTATGTAAATTTTTTGTCATTACCCGAGTTTACTCTTATGACTTGCACTGAATTGAATCGGCCAGGGATGCATAGTCCGGAAAATTGGCGGTAACTCGCTGGCAAGTTTGTCGTTGTTTAGCTTTCCTGCACTGAGCGCGGTTGTTTGCGCATGTGCAGTCACCTAAGTGTCAGTAAAACATTACAATACTGAGTAAAACACAGATGTCATTTGACTGTGGTGCCATGTCCATGTGCCATGCCTGTTTTTTTAAAAATCTAAATATTTCCCCTCCTCAGTTTATAAAATAATTTGCATCCACACATCTGCGTTATCAATCACATTCGTAACATTCCAAACATGTGCGTCTCTTAAGTCCTGTCCTGCGTTGGGGAAAAACACAGAAGTGGGCGGAGCTTTGATGCAGACGCCGGTAACGGCACTTTTACAGTCATAGAAGACACTCAGAGTAAGACGTATGTTTACAAGCACTGACCCCGTCCTCAGCCCTGGTTTAGTCCTGGTTTAGCCCTGGTTTAGTCCTGGTTTAGTCCTGGTTTAGTCCTGGTTTGGTTGTTTTCTAGCGTGAGTCCCCGCGATCACTTTGCTGCTCTCTGATGTGGAGCGAGGATGTTCGCTGCTGCGAGCATCTCACAGCGAACAGTTTTTAAGGTAGTATGATCCATGCTTCAGTGATCAGAGGAATTTAGGGGGGTACTGTGGCGTGTGAGAACGCAAAACTCCGGTTATCTCTGTCTACACACAAATGCATTAACGGAGTTTTAAAAAATCTCCACTTTGCCCGGAGTTTTTTGTATATATTCGTTTAGAATGTGTAATTTTTTATTTATTTAATGCGATCTACCAATACTACCTTTGCGATCGACTGGTAGATCGCGATCGACGTATTGAGCACCCCTGCTCTGGATCATTGCTACACCACTGTGCGCGGAGCTTTTCACGCTGTTCCCAAAGCAGCCCTCTGCTTCTCATATCACTCCATGATACATCTGATCCTGCTTAGACAGAGACTAGAGCTCTCGAAACCTGCAGTGAGGAGCTCCAAAGTGTGGTCTGATGAAGCTGTGGAAGAGCTGCGCGCATGCATGGAATCTACAGACTGGGACCTTTTCAGAGCTGCCACAGATAGTTTGGATGAATACACGGACACTGTGACGTCATACATTCACTTCTGCGAGGATAGCATCATTCCAACAAGGACCAGGATTATCTATAACAACGACAAACCCTGGTTCACTGCTAAACTCCGGCAGCTCAGGAAAGCAAAGGAGTCTGCTTTCAAGGAGGGGGACCGCAGTGGCTACAAAGCAGCTAAATATCAGTTCACAGGGTTTCCTCCAGAGGGGGGGTGGGGGGATCAGTCCCCCCCAAGCCATGGCCCTAGGCAGCTTGTTTATCCCCGCTGCATTTACCCACATGCCCGGTATTATGACCCCCCCCTGTTCCCTTCACCACGTCCCCTGCCTGGCGTTCGCAGAATGTTTCCACTGCGGCCACACACCGCGGTAAAGAGGCCCGGGTTTTCGGAGTCATCGGTAAAGAGGTCCGCACATTAAAAGTGGGAAGCCGCTTTATGTTAAAAAGTGCATTGTGGCGGCTTATCCCCGCGTCTTCTCTTTCCAATGTTACTGCAATTAACCGCATAAAGCGGCTGTCCGCTTTTAATGTGCGGACTCCAAAAACCCAGGCCTCTTTACCACAGGGCCACACGGAGGACGTAAACTGTGGCTGTCTGTGGACTATTATGGCGCGGACTCCTGTCACTAATAATGTCTGTGTTTTCCTCCTCTGAATCTGAGTGAGCCAGTACCAAATACTTCTCTGATCTCTGGAGACCTCTGGCTCTGCTCTGGCTCCGCTCAGAACTACGGCTCCTGCTTCGCGTCGCTGTGCCGCAGGTGTTTTACAAACTCATTTTACTCTAATACTTTGAATATAACCAGTCCCACAAAGGCCACTCATATTAAAAGGCACACATGTCCACTAACTCCTCGTGAAAAATATTAACAAATTACTGCAATAAACGTGTGAATTTTTTTTCCGGGGTATCGGACCTCAACACCCCCCCCCCCCCCGCCCCGCCCCCCCCTCAAACAAATTCCTGCCGGAAACACTGGTTCAGGAACGAACTGAAAGCAGCCAAGTCCCGGCACAGAGAACGACTACAGGAGCAGTTTGGTAACAACGATACTGCTTCTGTCTGGAGGGGCCTACGGGAGATCACCAACTACAAACCCAAAGCCCCCCCCTGTGCTGACGACCACAAGCTAGCTGACGATCTGAACTTATTTTTCAGTCGCTTTGATGCTGCCCCTGACACCTCCCCCACCCCCCACTACTCTAACGACCCACCCATCAGCCCTGCCCCCAGCCTGACAATAGCCTCTAAAGATATTAAACCACTCTCTCTCTGAGACACTGCGCCAGTGAGCTTACTCCTGTGTTCACGGACATTTTCAACACCTCTCTGCAGTCCTGCCATGTCCCGGCCTGCTTCAAATCCTCCATCATTGTCCCCGTCCCGAAGAAGCCCAGGATCACAGGACTCAATGACTACAAACCTGTAGCACTTACGTCTGTCGTCATGAAGTCATGTGAACGCCTCGTCCTCTCCCATCTCAAGTCCTTCACCTCCCCCCTCCTGGACCCCCTGCAGTTTGCCTACAGAGCCAACAGATCTGTAGACGACGCCATTAACCTGGCCCTCCACCACATCCTACAGCACAGACTCCCCGGGGACCTACGCCAGGGTCCTGTTCGTGGACTTCAGCTCTGCCTTCAACTAGGGCTGGGCAATAAATCGAATTTAGGCAATTAATCGGCTTATGAAAAAATCGAATTTGGAAAAAAGGTGAAAATTGTGAAATCGAATGAAGGATATTGTGAGAGTTCCATAAGCACATGAATTATACTTGCAATATCAGGAGGTGGACCGGCTGGTGTCCTGGTGCAGTGGTAACAACCTGGAGCTGAACGCCCAGAAGACAGTGGAGATGATTGTGGACTTCAGGAAGAGCACTGTCCCCCCGCCCCCACCCTCCGTGATGGACTCCCCCATCACCTCTGTGGAGTCCTGGGCACCACCATCACCCAGGATCTCAAGTGGGAGCCGACCATCAGCTCCCTCATCAAGAAGGCCCAGCAGAGGATGTACTTCCTGCGGCAGCTCAGGAAAGCCAAGCTGCCTGCACAGATGTTGGTGCAGTTCTACACGGCCATCATCGAGTCCATCCTCACCTCCTCCATCACATTGTGGTTCGCTGGAGCAAGGCAAGGCAAGGCAAGGCAAGGCAAGTCTATTTATATAGCACAATTCATACACAAGGCAATTCAAAGTGCTGAACAAAATAAGAAAGCAGCAAAATCATGAATAATCACAGAACATTAAAAAGAAAGATAAAAATATAAAATCCCTCAGTTGTATGCACAGCTAAACTGAACTGTCTTTAACCTGGTTTTAAACATTGTCATTGATTGTCTCACATCTTAAAGCTGCACTAACTCACTTTGGGATTTTGAAGCCGCGGACTCGCTGGCCTCTCTCTTTCTGCTCCCCTCCCCGCACCCACAAAGCTATCGCCCCCCACACACACCCACTGTTGGGACGGAGCTAGTGTCTCTCAATATGGATAATACATGGATATGGATTTGCACGTGGATGGCGTGACCATAGAACGATAGAACCGGGAAGCGCGGAGGAACGAGACTTTCTTTTGGATGGCTGTCTCGCTGTGTAAGCAGTAACCGGTGACGAAGACGAGAAAGTTTCAGGTTAGCTCCTCGGCTTGTTGTGCTAACTCAGCCGTCTATGCTAACGGACCTGTAGATTTCTCACGAAAGTCGGGGCTAGTGGTCCGCTGTGATTGGTCACAATCTGCGACCCGAAACACATTATCTTCCTTGTTTCATCAAAACTCGATCTAAAATATAATGTCAGGCCAGCACAAATCTGCACTACTTTTTCTTCAAAAGGACGTATATCCCAATGCCCTACGCGGACATGGATAGCATTTTAGTAATTAACACAAAAATAAAGTCAGTCAGTGCAGCTTTAAGGAAGACTGTACCAGATTTTAGCAGCATGAATCTGATTAGCTGCCTCCCCATGTTTAGTTCTGACTCTGGGCACTAACAGGAGTCCAGTCCCTGTGCTCCTCAGAGTCCGGGCTGGTTCATATGGGACTAACATGTCACTAATATATTTTGGTGCGAGGCCATGGAGAGACTTGTACACAAGCAGAGCTGTTTTAAAGTCTATTCTCTGAGCCACAGGAAGCCAGTGCAGAGACCTGAGAACTGGACTAATGTGGTCGTACTTCCTGGTTCTAGTCAGGACTCGAGCCACAGTCAGGGACAAACAGAGACTACAGCGCATTGTGCGCTCTACAGAGGAAGTGATCGGCCGCAGCCTCCCATCGCTGCAGGACCTGTACGTCGCCCGAGCTCGAGGCCGGGCTGGTCGTATCACAGCCGACCCCTCTCACCCTGCACATGGACTATTCCAACCACTCCCCTCAGGCAGGAGGCTGCGGTCCATCAGGACTAGAACCTCCCGCCACAAGAACAGTTTCTTCCCCTCTGCTGTTGGACTCTTGAACACTTCTTAACCTGTCCCCCCGCCCTTTATAAAGTCACTTTACTGCCCATCATACATCACTTTACTTCACTGTACTGCTGTCACCTTACATTGTGTGCACCATGTGCACTTGTATATTGTAAATAGTAACTGTAACTCTATTTTAAATTAAAATTTATTCCTTAGAAGTGTTTTTTATTCTTTATTTTTTATTATCTCTCTGACTGTTGCACTGAGCCAAAGCAATTTCCAAGTCTGTGACTTCCTGTTACTTACGTGGCAATAAAAATGATTCTGATTCTGATTCTGCTTCTCTGCCTCACTCTCAGCTCCATGTGCTTGGGATGCGGCCTCTGCCTCACTCTCGGGTCTATCTGTTTGGGATGCGGCCTCTGCTTCAGTCTCAAGTCCATGTGTTTGCGATGCAGCCTCTGCGTCACTCTCGGATCCATGTGTTTGGGATGCGTCCTCTGCCTCACTCTCAGGTCCATGTGTTTGGGATGCGGCCTCTGCCTCACTCTCGGGTCCATGTGTTTGGGATGCGGCCATTGCTTCACTCTCGGGTCCATGTGTTTGCGATGCAGCCGCTGCGTCATTCTCGGGTCCATGTGTTTGGGATGCAGCCTCTGCCTCACTCTCAGTTCCATGTGTTTTGGGATGCGGCCTCTGCCTCACTCTCGGGTCCATGTGTTTGGGATGCGGCCTCGGCTCCACTCTCGGGTCCATGTGTTTGGGATGCGGCCTCTGCGTCACTCTCGGGTCCATGTGTTTGGGATGCGGCCTCTGCCTCACTCTCGGGTCCATGTGTTTGGGATGTGGCCTCTGCTTCACTCTCGGGTCCATGTGTTTGAGATGCGGGCCCTGCCTCACTCTCAGCTCCATGTGTTTGGGATGCGGCCTCTGCCTCACTCTCGGGTCTATCTGTTTGGTATGCGGCCTCTGCTTCAGTGTCAGGTTCATATGCTTGGGATGCGTCCTCGGCCTCACTCTCAGGTCCATGTGTTTGGGTTGTGGCCTCTGCCTCACTCTGGGGTCCATGTGTTCGGGATGCGGCCTCTGGTTCACTCTCAGGTCCATGTGTTCGGGATGCGGCCTCTGCCTCACTCTGGGGTCCATGTGTTTGGGATGCGTCCTCTGCCTCACTCTCGGGTCCATGTGTTTGCGATGCGGCCTCTGCCTCACTCTCATCTCCATGTGTTTGGGATGCGGCCTCTGCCTCACTCTTGGGTCCATGTGTTTGGGATGTGGCCTCGGCTTCACTCTCGGGTCCATGTGTTTAGGATGCGGCCTCTGCCTCACTCTCGGGTCTATGTGTTTGGGATGCAGCCACTGTCACTCTCGGGTCCATGTGTTTGGGATGCGGCCTCTGCCTCACTCTCGGGTCCATGTGTTTAGGATGCGGCCTCTGCCTCACTCTCGGGTCCATGTGTTTGGGATGCGGCCTCTGCGTCACGCTGCTTCAGTCTGATTCATGGTCCTGGGCGAGTTCAGCTGCTCTTCACTTCCACCGTTTTACATTCAAGACATAACTCTAAAGCAAACGGACATACCAGCCACACGCTCCCACACACTCTGGGCCTCTACATTCACAGGAACCAGTGGAATTTTGTCCAGAAGAGTACAGTCTGGTGAACTCTATGGCCTGCTAATGTGCAGTTTTGTTGAGCACTTTGAGTTACCTTGTGTATGAATCGTGATATACAAATAAACTTGCCTTGCTTTGCCTCGATAGATTGCCTGGTAGATAGAAAGATACAATGCAGAAAATGAAGAATGAGGTAATAATTGCTCGAATCAATTGTTTTTATTCAAGATTCAAGAATGTGTTTACCATTGTAAAGCCATTTAGTCTAGTTTCAAGAACTGTTGCTTTTTTTCCTCATTCCAAGGAAGACATTTGTTGTATCTTTTTAAAACAAGACCATTGCTCTTTTTCCCTTTGTTAACAGTCATAATGTCAAATTTTAGCCATTTTTGACTGCAGTGTTGTGGTTGGGGATGGAGGTGTAATTTAACTTTTAACTTAGATAACGCTTACTCCTATGGCTAACTTCAGAGGAAAATAATGTTTTTTTGTAGGGACTGAAGCCCAAGAGTCTGAACCTCAGGGAGACCAGTCTGCAGGTTCCAGGTCTAGTATACATGTGCTCCTTTATAGTGTCCATATTTTACTTTTAATTCAACTTAAACCAGGACTAGAGCTGCCAAATACTTCATCCACCGCTGTTTAAACTGGAAAAGTCTCCTCGTCCTGCTCCGAACACGCTGAGATTTTTTTTCTGGATTTCACGCTCTTGTCTCTTTCCCTGTCATAGTCTCACACACGGAGCACAGCTGCTGTCAGACCTCTACTGCTGTCTCTACTGCTGTCTCTGCTGCTGTTGCTTCTGCTGCTGCTGCTGCTGCTATGATCCATAAAAGAGCATATAAAAACATTAGAGATGGCGGACATTATTTCTATGACTGAGCGTGAGAGAAATGTCTATTTTCCGTCCTTTCTGCATCGAACCACATGTAACCACAGCACAATATACAGTGGTGTTTGTGAAATGACATACCCAGATAGAGATTACATAGCTTTGGCCAGTTCATGCAAGGCAGCCCAGGAAATCACACAAACTGGAAGATTTTTTTGCATTGAAGAATGGGCAGCTTTACCTTCTGAATGAGCCTCACCCACAACTAACACTGCAATGAGTTATAGAATATTAGGTTAAAAAGCAGGACTAAAGTAGGACTAAAGTAGGACTAAGAGCGGGACTACTAGAGCGGGACTACTAGAGCGGGACTACTAGAGCGGCTCTAAACCAAGTGCCTCTCTAAACCAAGTGCCTCTCTAAACCAAGTGCCTCACTGGAGACCAGGAGAAGACCCAGGACACAGAGGGACTGAGTCTGGTCTGGGAATGCCTCAGGATTCCCCCAGATGAGCTGCAGGAGGTGTGTGTGGAGAGAGAAGTCTGGGCTTCTCTGCTTCACTGCTGCCCCCGCGACCCGGCAACGGATAAAGCAGAAGAAAATGGATGGAATAAAATCTCTAACTTTAGCATAACATTTCACTGTTTTACATCTCAGCAAACAGAGGGAAGAAGCTGGAACAGGGCTTTTCCAGTTTGGCCAGAAGAGTCATGGATTATTTGATTCTATTGCCGAACACTTGATGAAAACAGCCAGATGTAAATTGGGATTATGACAACTGGACTTGAACCCAGAACCAGAACCAGATTCTTGGGTCTTGAGTCTGAGTTCTCTGCAGACAACAACATGTGGACTCAGTGGGATTCCTCCTCCTGCGGTGGGTTCGACCTCCGCAGCTGCTCCCATCATTCACCACAAAAACATGTTCTCAGACAGAAGATAAATCAAAAATGTTTTAGTCCAACTGTTCAGGAGCAAAAGGAGCCACAGGAGCCACACAAGCCACACGAGCCAGATGAGCCTCAGGGCCGACACGAGGGCCGACACAGGAGCCACGAGGGCCGACACAGGAGCCACACAGGAGCCGACACAGGAGCCACAAGGGCCGACACAGGAGCCGACACAGGAGCCGCAAGGGCCGACACAGGAGCCACACAGGAGCTGACACAGGAGCCACACAGGAGCCGACACAGGAGCCACAACGGCCGACACAGGAGCCACACAGGAGCCGACACAGGAGCCACAACGGCCGACACAGGAGCCACAAGGGCCGACACAGGAGCTACAATGGCCACAAGGGCCGACACTGGTGCTACAATGGCCACAAGGGCCGACACAGGAGCTACAAGGGCCAACACAGAGCTGCAATGGCCATAAGGGCCGACACAGGAGCTACAAGGGCCACAAGGGCCGACACAGGAGCTACAAGGGCCACAAGGGCCGACACAGGAGCTACAAGGGCCGACACAGGAGCTACAAGGGCCACAAGGGCCGACACAGGAGCTACAAGGGCCACAAGGGCCGACACAGGAGCTACAAGGGCCACAAGGGCCGACACAGGAGCTACAAGGGCCACAAGGGCCGACACAGGAGCTACAAGGGCCACAAGGGCTGACACAGGAGCTACAAGGGTTGACACAGGAGCTACAAGGGCCACAAGGGCCGACACAGGAGCTACAAGGGGTGACACAGGAGCTACAAGGGGCGACACAGGAGCTACAAGGGGCGACACAGGAGCTACAAGGGGCGACACAGGAGCTACAAGGGGCGACACAGGAGTTACAAGGGCTGACACAGGAGTCTCAGGAGCCACAGGAGTCTCAGGAGCCACAGGATTCTCAGGAGCTACAGGAGTCACAGAAGCTACAGGAGCTACAAGAGCCACAGGAACTAAAGTAGCCTCAGGAGCCACACGAGCCAGATGAGCCGCAGGGCCACAAGGGCCGACACAGGAGCCACACAGGAGCCACAAGGGCTGACACAGGAGCCACAAGGGCCGACACAGGAGCCACAAGGGCCGACACAGGAGCCACAAGGGCCGACACAGGAGCCACAAGGGCCGAAACAGGAGCTACAAAGGCCACAAGGGCCGACACAGGAGCCACAAGGGCCGACACAGGAGCCACAAGGGCCGACACAGGAGCCACAAGGGCCGACACAGGGGCCACAAGGGCCGACACATGAGCCACAAGGGCCGAAACAGGAGCTACAAAGGCCACAAGGGCCGACACAGGAGCCACAAGGGCCGACAGAGGAGCCACAAGGGCCGACACAGGAGCCACAAGGGCCGACCCAGGAGCCACAAGGGCCGACCCAGGAGCCACAAGGGCCGACCCAGGAGCCACAAGGGCCGACACAGGAGCCACAAGGGCCGACACCGGAGCCACAAGGGCCGACACCGGAGCTACAAGGGCCGACACCGGAGCTACTAGGGCCGACAGGAGCCACAGAAGCTACAGGAGCTACAAGAGCCAAGGGAGCCTCAGGAGCTATAGGAGTCACAGGAGCTAAAGTAGCCTCAGGAGTCACAGGAGCTACAGGAGCCTCAGGAGTCACTGGAGTCTCAGGATCCAGAGGAGCCACAGGAGCTACAGGAGCCACAGGAGTCTCAGGAGCTACAGGAGTCTCAGGAGCCACAGAAGCTACAGGAGCTACAATATTCACAGGAGCTAGAAGAACCACAGGAGCCAAAGGAGCTACAGGAGCCACAGGGGTCACAGGAGTCTCAGAAGCTACTGGAACTACAGGGGCTACAGGAGCCACAGGAGCTACAAGAGCCACAGAAGCTACAGGAGCTAAAAGAGCCACGGGAGCTACAGGAAACATAGGAGCCATAGGAGTCACAGGAGCCAAAGGAGCTATAGGAGTCACAGGAGCCAGAGGAGTCACAGGAGCTAGAAGAGCCTAAAGAGCCACAGGAGCCATAGCAGCCATAGCAGTCACAGGAGCCACAGGAGCTACAGGTCCCACATTAGGTACAGGAGCCTCAGGGGCCTCAGGAGCTTCAGGAGCCACACAGGCCTCAGGAGCCACATGAGCTACAGGAGGCAAAGGAGCTACATGAGCCACAGGAGATACAGGAGCCACAGAAGCTACAGGAGCCACTGTAGCCACAGGAGTCTAAGGAGCTGCAGAAGCTACAGGAGCTACAAGAGCCACGGGAGATACAGGAACCACAGGAGATATAGGAGTCACAGGAGCTACAGGAGCCTCAGGACCCTCATGAGCTACTGGAGCCACAGGAGCCTCAGGAGCTACAGGAGCTACAGGAGCCAAAGGAGCTAAGGCAAGGCAAGTTTATTTATATAGCACAATTCATACACAAGGCAATTCAAAGTACTGAACAAAATAAGAAAGCATTAAAATCATAAATAATCACAGTACATTAAAAAGAAAGATAAAAATATAAAATCCCTCAGTTGTATGCACAGCTAAACAGAACTGTCTTTAACCTGGTTTTAAACATTGTCAGAGAGGAGGCCTGTCTCACATCTTCAGGAAAATTGTTCCAGATTTTAGCAGCATGAATCTGAAAAGCAGCCTCCCCATGTTTAGTTCTGACTCTGGGCACTAACAGGAGTCCAGTCCCTGTGCTCCTCAGAGTCCGGGCTGGTTCATATGGGACTAACATGTCACTAATATATTTTGGTGCGAGGCCATGGAGAGACTTGTACACAAGCAGAGCTGTTTTAAAGTCTATTCTCTGAGCCACAGGAAGCCAGTGCAGGGACCTGAGAACTGGACTAATGTGGTCGTACTTCCTGGTTCTAGTCAGGACTCGAGCTGCTGCATTTTGAATGTACTGCAGCTGTTTTACAGCCTGTTTGGACAGACCTGTGAGCAGGCCATTGCAGTAGTCTAACCTACTGGAGACAAATGCATGGATAAGAATCTCCAAGTCTGCTTTAGACACTATGTTTTTGATCCTGGCAATGTTTTTTTAGGTGGTAAAAAGCTGCTGATGTTACTGATTTGATGTGGCTATTAAAATTTAAGTCTGAGTCCAGTATTACCCCTAGATTTCTGACCTTGTTTGAAGGTTTTAGGGAGAGAGACTGTAGGTGACAGATGATGCTCTCTCTTTGTTTCTGGGGACCAAAGACAATCATTTCAGTTTTGTCTGCGTTTAGCTGAAGGAAGTTGTTTTGCATCCACTCACTGATCTGTTTGATACAGTGAAGGAGTGAGTCCACTGGTCCATGTTCTCCTGCAGTCAGTGAGACATAGATCTGAGTGTCGTCTGCATAGTTGTGATAGGACACTTTGTTTCTGCGTATTAACTGACCTAACGGCAGCATGTAGAGATTGAACAGAAGAGGTCCCAGGATCGACCCCTGTGGTACTCCACAGGTCAGGGCCATATGATCTGAGACACAGTCTCCAATCTCCACAAAGTACTTCCTGTCTTCAAGGTAAGACCCAAACCAACTTAGGGCGGTGCCGGCGACGCTAACCCAGTCCTCTAGTCTCTGTAAGAGGATCTCATGGTCCACGGTGTCAAAGGCAGCACTTAGATCTAACAAGATTAAGATTGAGACTTTGCCTGCGTCAGTGTTCAGCCGGATATCGTTTGTAACCTTAACGAGAGCAATCTCAGTGCTGTGGTGGGGTCTAAAGCCGGACTGAAACATATCAAATTGTAGCATAGCCACAAATGTTTAAAATGTGTTAATGGGTGTTTAGGTATCTTTGTTTATGTTTTGGGCCTAATGGGACAGGTCTGTTTTGTGAATGAACTGGGGGGGCGTGTCCCGGGAGGGAGCGCTCATCAGAGACCTGCCATCAGGTGCGCGGGAGAGAGACGAGGGAGCTTTTGGTTTTGGACACGGCTCGAGGAGACCACGAGAGACTTGAGTCGGAGATCTGTGAGGGGATTATTGTAGCGGACTGTACAGACCCTCGAGACGGACCCGGCAGGAGAGCCCGGTTGCCGCTCACGCACGGCCTGTGCGCGTTTTGTTTATAAACTTTATACGCTGGAGAGGGAGAGCGCTCTCACTCACTGCGCTCTGCCCACACTCTGAACGTTTGGATTACTTTCCCAGTTGGATTACTTTCTCGTTCTGTTTGGATTACCTACATCGTTTTGTCATCTCTTCGATTTGCCTTTTGAACTACACTGACTATCACCGGAGCCACGTACTCGTCACCAGGTTTGACAGTGGGACATACGGTGGGCGCGGGGAGGACTAAGTCTTTTATATTGTTTATGATTATTGCTTGTTTTGGACTGAGTACTGAGTAAATGGAGTACACGTTACACACAGTAGATTAATGAGTGGTTGTTTTTCTTTGATCAGCGTTAGGTCAATCACAGCGGTATAAAGCGTCACAGTTACCTCGATGTATTTTGTAGTGCGCGCTCCGAGGGGCTGAGTCTTACATATGGTGGCCCGTACGAGGACTTGTGATTTTGTCTGTGATTTGTACATTTGTAAACGCTTGTTTTTTTATATACCACTCGGGTGTGTGTGTGGGTGTGTTACATTGACATGGGGGATCAGGAGAGCGCAGAACAGGACAACCCAGACTTTACCGCAGGGCCGTTCGTAGCTTGCAGAAATCCTACGGGGGAGATCGAGTCACTGTTAGACTCACTGTATCTTCATGATGGAGACGTCAGTCTGAATGGAGATGACAGAATAGAACTGGCTCACTCACAGGACAGAGTTAATGAGGAAAATTCCGACCATACTAGTCAGAATGGGGAGGAGGCCTTGGGAGCTCTCGGGAGAGGGCTGTTGGAGCCTCTTACTCCTGTAGTGGTGCAGAGGGAGAATAGAGTGGACATTTCCCAGACTGACTGGGACAGTATGCAGAACAGAATGAGGGTTTTGGAATGTCACCTAGGAGCTCTGGAGACTACTCACAGAGAGTCTGTGTCTAGTTCTCTCAACAGAGAAACATCCTTTAGGGAGAGTGTTGAAAGGGCTTTGGCAAAAATGGAACAGGAATTCCAGGACAAGGTAGAGGTGTTAGAGAAGAACATGGTTAGCTGTTTAAAGAGGAGGGATGAGAAGTGGCAAAGAGAGATTAGTACTTTGCGTCCCACTAGTACCCCTATTAATCAGAGAACCATTGCTGTATCCACTGACATGGGTGGTCCCCCTCCCCTTAATGCCACCTTTAGTATGCCTGGTGTATCCCCGTTCTACTTCAAGCCTCCCGTCCGTTTGGATTTCCCCACATTTGGACCTAGTTGTGAAACCGCGGACGTGTTGAGTTTTGTGGAGCAAGCAGAGAACTTTTTGGAGTTACGCCCACTCTCGGTACCAGAACTGATGGGGACATTATCCTCCGTGTTGAGGGGACCTGCGCTAAGCTGGTGGAAAGCTGCAAAAGGCCAGGTGCTTGATTGGAGTATGTTTAAAGAGACATTTTTGAACGCATTCCTTCCCACGGACTATATGGCGGAAGTGGAGGAAAAGCTGAGGGAGCTGGTGCAGCAGCCCGACCAACGTCTGCGGGACTTTGCTTATGATTACCAGGCCCTGTGTCTCAAATGGAAACCGGATATGCCCGAGGAAGAAATCGTGAGACGCATACTTAACAACACAAATCCAAAAGTAGCGGGGTGTTTGAGAGGAACTGTCCATACGGTCACAGACCTGGTGAAAGTGGGGTCCATGGTGGAGAAAGACTGTGGTAGCGCTAAAGGCTATTGGCAGAAAGTGCATGCCTCCACCGAGGGAACTGGGAAAAGGGCCCTAGAAAAAAGAGGCGGGAATAAATTCAATGCAGTTGTCACCCAACCTCCACCGCCCCAAATGCAGAGAGCAGAGCTGCTGTTGGTTCCTCTTACCATATGCAATGTCCAGGGAGTGGCTGTGGTGGATACCGGAAGTACCTACACGCTCATGCGAGAGGGTCTATGGAGGAACCTCCATGGCACCTCAAGAGACTTGATTCCATCAGAGGACCAGAGGTTTGTCATGGCGGATGGAACCGCGCATGTTGCCCTGGGAAAACAACGCTTCGGACTGGACTGGCATGGTCGAAAGCTGAGTGTCGAGGCGCATGTTATGGACGACAGACATCTCGCTTTTCCCATGATAATCGGACTGGATTTTCTGACTGATGCTGGGGTTATCCTAGACCTGGCTAAACGCGTTTATGGATTACAAACGGCAAATGGTTATGTTTTCCATCCCTTCCTTCTGCCGCCCACAAGACCGGGTCCATGGACGAGAACTGTTCCGAGGGTGCATTTATATTACGCACCCCAACCGGGCAGATTCCTGCCATGTTGGACCTCGTATCCGCTCATGATGAACTCTGTCTCTGTCGACCAGCCCAATGAACTTTCTCAACTCATTAATGCCTGGCCCACAGTGACTTCCAGTGTGCTCGGCAAGACCACAGTGGAAAAGCACACAATTTACACCCAGGATGAGGTGCCAGTTAAATCTCGAGCTTACAGGGTATCTCCCCTCAAAAAGAGAATCATAGAAGAGCATGTCGAGAAAATGCTGGACGAGGACATCATAGAGCCGTCTCAGTCATCTTGGTCCTCACCCGTGGTCATGGTCGATCGTCCTGATGGCCGGGAGCGATTCTGTATAGACTTTCGCAAGGTTAATGCTAAAACCCTCCCAGACGCTTACCCCATGCCAATCATCCATGAGATCCTCGAGTCACTAGAGGGTGCGACATGGTTCAGCGCCTTGGACCTACAGTCGGGGTATTGGCAGATAGCCATGGATGAAAACAGCAAACAAAAGACAGCTTTCATCACAACTCTGGGACTCTTCCAGTTCAAACGCATGCCCTTCGGTTTGCGGAACGCGGCAGCCACCTTTCAAAGATTGATGGAGAAGGTGTTGGGAGAGCTGAGAGGCAGGATGTGCTTTGTTTACATTGACGATATCATTGTATACTCTACGTCCCGTGAACAACATTCTAGAGACCTGAACTCGGTCTTCCAAAAGCTACAGGCAGCCAATCTCAGCCTGAACATGAAGAAGTGTCAGTTCTTCAAGAGAGAACTAAAGTTCTTGGGACATATCGTGTCTTCTCGGGGTGTGGAGGTGGATCCATCCAAAACCAAAGCAGTGTCAGAGTTCCCCGTGCCACAGGACATTAAAGAACTGCAGCGTTTTCTGGGGCTCGCGGGCTGGTACCACAAATTCATTCTGGGCTTCGCGGACATGGCCGCCCCATTGAACCATCTCAAGAAGAAGGGGGTGGAATGGAAATGGACTTCTGAATGCCAAGCCAGTTTCACGGCCCTCAAGGAGGCTCTCAACAACCCACCTGTTCTGGCACAACCAAACCAAAATCTGCCATTCCAAGTTCACACGGATGCCAGTGAGGCTGGGCTGGGAGCCATACTCTCGCAGCCCTTTCCTGAGGGAGAGAGGGTGGTAGCCTATGCTTCACGGATGCTTCGAGGCCCTGAAAAGAACTATTCTACATCAGAGAAGGAGTGCCTGGCAGTGGTATGGGCCATAGAGAAGTGGAGGCACTATCTGGAGGGCATCCATTTCGATGTCTTCACTGACCATGCTGCTCTGGCCTGGGCTTTCAATTGCCCAAAAACTTCTTCCCGTCTGACACGCTGGATCCTGCGATTGCAACAGTTCACCTTCAGAGTGCACTATCGCAAAGGGTGCCTCAACACTGCACCAGACGCACTGTCACGATCCTGTGAGAAACAATCCCAGAACACTCGCTGTTTAGCACTCGCTGGATGGAAACACAGCAAAAACCTGCCAACCACCTTGGACGAGATTGCCAAAGCACAGACACAAGACCCGTTTATCCATGACCTGACACTCAATAAAGCAGGACAGGCCAAACCCAACCGGATCACTTTTGTTAACCACCAAGGTGTGATCTATCGCCAGGTTCCAATAGACGGTGGAGAAAAGTACCAGCTTGTCGTCCCTCAAGTCCTAGCCCCAGAGTTCCTCCAGTATTTCCATGATAACCCTCTAGGTGGGCATCTAGGACGGCTGAAGACCCTACTGAGGGTGTTGGAGGTTGCCTGGTGGCCTACTGTACGCAAAGATGTATGGGAACACACAAAGTCCTGTGAGAGCTGCCAGCGTTATAAACCAGAGAACACCAAACCGCATGGATATCTCCAGTCCACACAGGTGACTGCTCCAGGAGAGATGCTGGGCATCGACCTGATGGGCCCATTTCCCCGAAGCAAAAATGGAAACAGTTACCTGGTGGTGGTGGTTGATTACTATTCAAAATGGGTGGAGGTATTCCCACTACGGGATAGCAAAACTCCCCGTATCATTAAGATCCTGCGAGAGGAGATCTTCACTCGTTGGGGGGTTCCCAAATTTCTCGTCTCGGACCGAGGTCCACAATTTACTGCTGGCCTCTTGACGGACCTCTGCAAAGCATGGGGGGTGGTACAGAAACTCACCACCAGTTACCACCCTCAAACTAACCTCACTGAACGGTTCAATCGGACCATCAAAACCATGATCGCATCCTTCGTAGGGCCCTCCCATGAGATGTGGGACCAGTGGCTACCAGAGATTCGTTTCGCTATCAACACTGCTCAGCAAGAAACTACTGGCAGGACTCCGGCAGAGCTGGCTCTGGGTCGGTGGCTTCATGGTCCGTTACAAAGACTCATTCACAAACCACCCAGCCCTGAGCAAAAAGACTCTTATGATGCGGTTGAGCGACAACAAAAACTAGGGGAAGAGGTAAGGAAAAGGATGGGGGTACACCAGGTTCGCCAGGCTAAATACTACAACTCTCGAAGGAAAGAGGTGCAGTTTGAGGCAGGTGACAAAGTCTGGGTTCGGGCGCATCCACTCTCCAAGGCTAGTGAGAAGTTCTCTGCCAAGTTAGCTCCAAGATGGGACGGGCCAGCCTCCATAGTCAGGAGGTTGGGGCCTGTGAACTATCTGGTCAAATGGGAGGAGTTGCCCAATAAGCAGGACGTGGTCAATGTGGTGAATCTTAAAATGTGTTATATGGTCAACTAGTAGCCTCTGGCTGGAGGGGGGGACTCTGTAGCATAGCCACAAATGTTTAAAATGTGTTAATGGGTGTTTAGGTATCTTTGTTTATGTTTTGGGCCTAATGGGACAGGTCTGTTTTGTGAATGAACTGGGGGGGCGTGTCCCGGGAGGGAGCGCTCATCAGAGACCTGCCATCAGGTGCGCGGGAGAGAGACGAGGGAGCTTTTGGTTTTGGACACGGCTCGAGGAGACCACGAGAGACTTGAGTCGGAGATCTGTGAGGGGATTATTGTAGCGGACTGTACAGACCCTCGAGACGGACCCGGCAGGAGAGCCCGGTTGCCGCTCACGCACGGCCTGTGCGCGTTTTGTTTATAAACTTTATACGCTGGAGAGGGAGAGCGCTCTCACTCACTGCGCTCTGCCCACACTCTGAACGTTTGGATTACTTTCCCAGTTGGATTACTTTCTCGTTCTGTTTGGATTACCTACATCGTTTTGTCATCTCTTCGATTTGCCTTTTGAACTACACTGACTATCACCGGAGCCACGTACTCGTCACCAGGTTTGACAGTGGGACATACGGTGGGCGCGGGGAGGACTAAGTCTTTTATATTGTTTATGATTATTGCTTGTTTTGGACTGAGTACTGAGTAAATGGAGTACACGTTACACACAGTAGATTAATGAGTGGTTGTTTTTCTTTGATCAGCGTTAGGTCAATCACAGCGGTATAAAGCGTCACAGTTACCTCGATGTATTTTGTAGTGCGCGCTCCGAGGGGCTGAGTGTTACAAAATGAGTTGTTGATTATAAGAAATCTAGTAAGCTGTAGGTAGACAACTTTCTCAAGGACTTTCCCCATAAATGGCAGATTTGAGATGGGACGATAGTTGTTAAGTACCGTAGCATCCAGACTGCTCTTTTTTAGCAGGGGCCTGATGACTGCAGTTTTCAGGGCCTTTGGGAATATTCCAGAATGAAGGGACATGTTTACTATCTGTGTGAGTGAAGGTAACAGACTGCTCAGAACAGACTTCAGAAATCTAGTGGGTAGTACATCCAGGCTGCATGTGGAGCAGGAGCCTCAGGAGCCAGAGGAGCCACAGGAGTTAAGTAGCCACAGTAACCACAGGATTTCAAGGACTCACAGGAAATACAGGAGCTACAGGAGCCACAGGAGCCTCAGGAGCTACAGGAGTCAAAGCAGCTCCAGGGGCAACAGAAAACAAACGAGCTACAGGAGCCACAGGAGCTAAAGGAGCCACAGTAACTACAGGAGCCACAGGAGCTAGAGGAGCCACAGGAGTTGAAGGAGCCACTGGAGCTACAGGAGCCATAGGAGCTATAGGAGACACAGAATCCACAGGAGCTACAGGAGCCAAAGGAGCTACAGGAGCCACGGCAGCTACAGGAGCCACAGCATTTACAGGAGATACAGAAGCCACAGGAACCACAGGATTTGAAGGAGCCACAGAAAAAACAGGAGCCACAAGAGCCTCAGGAGCAACAGGAGTTACAGGAGCCACAGTAACCACAGGATTTGAAGGACTCACAGGAAATACAGGAGCTACAGGAGCCACAGGAGCCCCAGGAGCTACAGGAGTCAAAGCAGCTCCAGGGGCAAATGAAAACAAAGGAGCTACAGGAGCCACAGGAGCTAAAGGAGCCACAGGAGCTACAGGAGCCACAGGAGCTAGAGGAGCCACAGGAGTTGAAGGAGCCACTGGAGCTACAGGAGCCACAGCATTTACAGGAGATACAGGAGCCACAGGAACCTCAGGAGTTGAAGGAGCCACAGGAACCACAGGAGTTGAAGGGGCCGCAGGAGCCAGAGGAGCTACAGGAGTTAGGCAGCTACAGGAGCCACAGGGACCTCAGGAGTTGAAGGAGCCACAGGAACCACAGGAGTTGAAGGGGCCACAGGAGCTACAGGAGCCATAGGAGCTACAGGAGCCACAGGAGTTGAAGGAGCCACAGGCGCTCCCGGAGCCAAAGGAGATACAGGAGCCACAAGAGTTGAAGGAGCCACAGGAGCTAGAGGAGCCACTGGAGCCAGAGGAGCTAAAGGAGCCACAGGAGCTTCAGGAGCCACAGTAGCTACAGGAGCTAGAGGAGCCACAGGAACCACAGGAGTTGAAGGAGCTACAGGAGCCACAGGAACCACAGGAGTTGAAGGAGGTACAGGAGCCATAGGAACCACTGGAGTTGAAGGAGCCACAGAAGACAAAGGAGCTACAGGAGCCACGGCAGCTACAGGAGCTACAGGAGCTAAAGGAGCCACAGGGGCCTCAGGAGCTACAGGAGCCACAGGGAACACAGGAGCCAAAGGAGTTCCAGGAGCCAGAGGAGCAACAGGAGCTGAATGAGCCACAGGGTTTACAGGAGTTACAGGAGCCAAAGGGAGCCTCAGGAGCTACAGGAGCTACAGGAGCCACAGGAGCTACAAGAGCAAAAGGAGCTCCAAGAGCCACAGAAAAAAAGGAGCTGCAGGAGCCACAGAAAATACAGGATCCACTGGAACTAGAGGAGCAACAGGAGCCAGAGGAGCCCAAGGAGCTCCAGGAGCCACAGAAGACAAAGGAGCTCCAGCAGCCACAGGAGCTCCAGGAGCCAAAGAAAACAAAGAAGCTACAGGAGCCATGACAGCTACAGGAGCCACAGGGGCCTCAGGAGCTACAGGAGCTAAGGGAGCTACAGGAGCCACAGGAACCACAGGAGCCACAGGAACCACTGGGGTTGAAGGAGCCACAGGAGCTACAGAAAACAAAGGAGCTACAGGAGCCACGACAGCTACAGGAGCCACAGGAGTTGGAGAAGCCAGAGGAGCTAAAGGAGCCACAGGGGCCTCAGGAGCTACAGGAGCTAAGGGAGCTACAGGAGCCACAGGAACGACAGGAGCCAAAGGAGTTTCAGGAGCCACAGGAGCTAGAGAAGCCAGAGGAGCCACAGGAGTTGAATGAGCCAAAGGAGCTACAAGAGCCACAGGGGCCTCAGGAGCTACAGGAGCCAAAGGGGCTGAAGGAGCTACAGGATCCAGAGGAGCAAAAGGAACCACAGAAGCTACAGGAGATACAGGAGCCAGAGGGACCAAAGGAGTTGAAGGAGCTACAGGATCTACAGGAGCCATAGGAGCTACAGGAGCTACAGGAGCCACATGAGATACAAGAGCCACAGTTTTAGGGTTTAAGGAGCCACAGGTGCTAAAGGAGCCACAGAAAACAAAGGAGCCACAGGAAATACAGGAGCCACTGGAACTAGAGGAGCAACAGGATCCACAGGACCTACAGGAGTTGAAGGAGCCACAGGAGCTACAGTAGCCATTGGAGCCTGAGGAGCTATAGGAGCTACAGGAACCACAGGAGTTGAAGGAGCCACAGGACCTAGAGGAGCCACAGGAGCTACAAGAGCCAAAGAAGCTCCAGGAGCAACACAAAACAAAGGAGCTACACCAGCCACAAGAGCCACAGGAAATACAGGAGCAACAGGATCCAGAGGAGCAAAAGGAACCACAGAAGCTACAGGAGATACAGGAGCCAGAGGGACCAAAGGAGTTGAAGGAGCTACAGGATCTACAGGAGCCATAGGAGCTACAGGAGCTACAGGAGCCACATGAGATACAAGAGCCACAGGAACCACAGGAGTTGAAGGAGCCACAGGAGCTAGAGGAGCCACTGGAGCCAGAGGATCTACTGGAGCCACAGTAGCTACAGGAGCTAGAGCCACAGGAGCCAGAGGAGCTACAGGAACCACAGGAGCTACAGGAGCCATAGGAGCTACAGGAGCCAAAGGAGCTCCAGGCGCCACAGAAGACAAAGGAGCTACAGGAACCACAGGAGTTGAAGGAGCCACAGGAGGTACAGGACCCATAGGAGCTACAGGAGACACAGGAACCTCAGGAGCCACAGTAGCTACAGGAGCCACAGGAGCTAGAGGAGCTACAGGAACCACAGGAGTTACAGGAACCACAGGAGTTGAAGGAGCCACTGGAGCTACAGGAGACACGGGAGCTACAGGAGCCAAAGGAGCTACAGAAGCCACGGCAGCTACAGGAGCCACAGCATTTACAGGAGATACAGGAGCCTCAGGAACCTCAGGAGTTGAAGGAGCCACACTAGCCACAAGAACCACAGGAGTTGAAGGGGCCACAGGAGCTACAGGTGCCAAAGGAGCTACAGGAGCCACGGCAGCTACAGGAGCCACAGCATTTACAGGAGATACAGGAGCCACAGGAACCTCAGGAGTTGAATGAGCCACAGGAACCACAGGAGTTGAAAGGGCCACAGGAGCTACAGGAGCCATAGGAGCTACAGGAGACACAGGAGCCACAGGATCCACAGGAGTTGAAGGGGCCACAGGAGCTACAGGAGCCACGGCAGCTACAGGACCCAAAGGAAATACAGGAGCCACAGGAACCACAGGAGTTGAAGGAGCCACAGGAGCTACAGGAACCACAGGAGTTGAAGGAGCCACAGGAGCTCCAGGAGCCACAGAAGACAAAGGAGCTACAGGAGCCACGGCAGCTACAGGAGCAACAGGAGTTGGAGGAGCCAGAGGAGTTACAGGAGCTAAAGGAGCCACAGGGGCCTCCGGAGCTACAGGAGCCACAGGAGTTGGAGGAGCCACAGGGGCCTCAGGAGCTACAGGAGCTACAGCAGCCTCAGGAGCTACATGAGCAAAAGGAGCTCCAAGAGCCACAGAAAATACAGGAGCCACTGGAACTAGAGGAGCAACAGGAGCCTAAGGATCTCCAGGAGCCAGAGGAGCCAAAGGAACTCCAGGAGCCACAGAAGACAAAGGAGCTCCAGCAGCCACAGGAGCTAGAGGAGCCACAGGAACCACAGGAGTTGAAGGAGCCTGAGGAGGTACAGGAACCATAGGAGGTACAGGAGCCACTGGAGTTGAAGGAGCCACAGGAGCTCCAGTAGCCACAGAAGCTCCAGGAGCCACAGAAGACAAAGAAGCTACAGGAGCCACGACAGCTACAGGAGCAACAGGAGTTGGAGGAGCCAGAGGAGCTACAGGAGCTAAAGGAGCCACAGGGGCCTCCGGAGCTACAGGAACCACAGGCGCATGGCGCCGTGGCAAGAGCTCTGGTGTGTGTCGTCTGGTGCACACTGGGGTAGTCTTGCACAGTTTTTCCAATGTGGTTTTACTGCAAATGGCAAATAAATGAATCTGAATCTGAATCTGAACCACAGGAGTTGAAGGAGCCAGAGGAGGTACAGGAGCCATAGGAGCTACAGGAGGCACAGGAGCCACAGGAACCACTGGAGTTGAAGGAGCCACAGGAGCCACAGAAAACAAAGGTGCTACAGGAGCCACGACAGCTACAGGAGCCACAGGAGTTGGAGAAGCCAGAGGAGCTAAAGGAGCCACAGGGGCCTCAGGAGCTACAGGAGCCACAGGAACCACAGGAGCCAAAGGAGTTTCAGGAGCCAAAAGAGTTACAGGAGCCACAGGGGCCTCAGGAGCTACAGGAGCCACAGGAGCTAGAGAAGCCACTGGAGCCTCACGAGCTCCAGGAGTTACAGGAGCCTCAGGAGCTAAAGTAGCCACAGAAAACAAAGGAGCCACTGGAACTAGAGGAGCTACAGGAACCACAGGAGTTGAAGGAGCCACTGGAGCTACAGGAGACACGGGAGCTACAGGAGCCAAAGGAGCTACAGAAGCCACGGCAGCTACAGGAGCCACAGCATTTACAGGAGATACAGGAGCCTCAGGAACCTCAGGAGTTGAAGGAGCCACACTAGCCACAAGAACCACAGGAGTTGAAGGGGCCACAGGAGCTACAGGTGCCAAAGGAGCTACAGGAGCCACGGCAGCTACAGGAGCCACAGCATTTACAGGAGATACAGGAGCCACAGGAACCTCAGGAGTTGAATGAGCCACAGGAACCACAGGAGTTGAAAGGGCCACAGGAGCTACAGGAGCCATAGGAGCTACAGGAGACACAGGAGCCACAGGATCCACAGGAGTTGAAGGGGCCACAGGAGCTACAGGAGCCACGGCAGCTACAGGACCCAAAGGAAATACAGGAGCCACAGGAACCACAGGAGTTGAAGGAGCCACAGGAGCTACAGGAACCACAGGAGTTGAAGGAGCCACAGGAGCTCCAGGAGCCACAGAAGACAAAGGAGCTACAGGAGCCACGGCAGCTACAGGAGCAACAGGAGTTGGAGGAGCCAGAGGAGTTACAGGAGCTAAAGGAGCCACAGGGGCCTCCGGAGCTACAGGAGCCACAGGAGTTGGAGGAGCCACAGGGGCCTCAGGAGCTACAGGAGCTACAGCAGCCTCAGGAGCTACATGAGCAAAAGGAGCTCCAAGAGCCACAGAAAATACAGGAGCCACTGGAACTAGAGGAGCAACAGGAGCCTAAGGAGCTCCAGGAGCCAGAGGAGCCAAAGGAACTCCAGGAGCCACAGAAGACAAAGGAGCTCCAGCAGCCACAGGAGCTAGAGGAGCCACAGGAACCACAGGAGTTGAAGGAGCCTGAGGAGGTACAGGAACCATAGGAGGTACAGGAGCCACTGGAGTTGAAGGAGCCACAGGAGCTCCAGTAGCCACAGAAGCTCCAGGAGCCACAGAAGACAAAGAAGCTACAGGAGCCACGACAGCTACAGGAGCAACAGGAGTTGGAGGAGCCAGAGGAGCTACAGGAGCTAAAGGAGCCACAGGGGCCTCCGGAGCTACAGGAACCACAGGCGCATGGCGCCGTGGCAAGAGCTCTGGTGTGTGTCGTCTGGTGCACACTGGGGTAGTCTTGCACAGTTTTTCCAATGTGGTTTTACTGCAAATGGCAAATAAATGAATCTGAATCTGAATCTGAACCACAGGAGTTGAAGGAGCCAGAGGAGGTACAGGAGCCATAGGAGCTACAGGAGGCACAGGAGCCACAGGAACCACTGGAGTTGAAGGAGCCACAGGAGCCACAGAAAACAAAGGTGCTACAGGAGCCACGACAGCTACAGGAGCCACAGGAGTTGGAGAAGCCAGAGGAGCTAAAGGAGCCACAGGGGCCTCAGGAGCTGTAGGAGCCACAGGAACCACAGGAGCCAAAGGAGTTTCAGGAGCCAAAAGAGTTACAGGAGCCACAGGGGCCTCAGGAGCTACAGGAGCTACAGGAGCCACAGGAGCTAGAGAAGCCACTGGAGCCTCACGAGCTCCAGGAGTTACAGGAGCCTCAGGAGCTAAAGTAGCCACAGAAAACAAAGGAGCCACTGGAACTAGAGGAGCAACAGGATCCACAGGACCTACAGGAGTTGAAGGAGCCATTGGAGCCAGAGGAGCTATAGGAGCCACAGGAACCACAGGAGTTGAAGGAGCCACAGGAACTAGAGGAGCCACAGGAGCTTCAGGAGCTACAGGAGCCAAAGAATCTCCAGGAGCAACAGAAAAAAAAGGAGCTACACCAGCCACAAGAGCCACAGGAAATAAAGGAGCAACAGGATCCAGAGGAGCAAAAGGAACCACAGAAGCTACAGGAGATACAGGAGCCAAAGGAACCACAGGAGTTAAAGGAGCCACAGGAGTTGAAGGAGCCATAGGAGCTACAGGAGACACAGGAACCACAGGAGTTGAAGGAGCCACAGAAGACAAACGAGCTACAGGAGCCACGGCAGCTACAGGAGCCACAGGAGATACAAGAGCCACAGGAACCACAGGAGTTGAAGGAGCCATATGAGCTAGAGGAGCCACTGGAGCCAGAGGATCTACAGGAGCTAAAGGAGCCACAGTAGCTACAGGAGCTAGAGCCACAGGAGATACAGGAGCCATAGTAGCTAAAGGAGACACAGGAGCTACAGGAGCCAAAGGAGCTCCAGGAGCCACATAAGACAAAGGAGCTACAGGAACCACAGGAGTTGAAGGAGCCACAGGAGGTACAGGAGCCATAGGAGATACAGGAGACACAGGAACCTCAGGAGCCACAGTAGCTACAGGAGCCACAGGAGCTACAGGAGCCACAGGAACCACAGGAGTTGAAGGAGCTACAGGAGCCATAGGAGCTACAGGAGCCATGGCAGCTACAGGAGCCACAGCATTTACAGGAGATACAGGAGCCACAGCAACCTCAGGAGTTGAAGGAGCCACAGGAGCTACAGGAGCCATAGGAGCTACAGGAGACACAGGAGCCACAGGAGTTGAAGGAGCCACAGGAGCTCCAGGAGCCACAGAAGTCAAAGGAGCTACAGGAGCCACGGCAGCTACAGGAGCCAAAGGAGATACAGAAGCCACAGGAACCACAGGAGTTGAAGGAGCCACAGGAACAAGAGGAGCCACTGGAGCCAGAGGAGGTACAGGAGCTAAAGGAGCCTCAGGAGCCACAATAGCTACAGGAGCTAGAGGAGCCACAGGAACCACAGGAGTTGAAGGAGGTACAGGAGCCACAGGAACCACTGGAGTTACAGGAGCTCCAGGAGCCACAGAAGACAAAGGAGCTACAGGAGCCAAGGCAGCTACAGGAGCAACAGGAGTTGGAGGAGCCACTGGAGCCAGAGGAGCTACAGAAGCTAAAGGAGCCACAGGGGCCTCAGGAGCTACAGGAGCCACAGTGACCACAGGAGTTCCAGGAGCTAGAGGAGCAACAGGAGCTACAGGAGTTGAATGAGCCATAGGAGCCACAGGGTTTACAGGAGCTAGAGGTGCCTCAGGAGCTACAGGAGCTACAGGAGCCACAGGAGCTACAGGAGCTACAATAGCAAAAGGAGCTCCAAGAGCCACAGAAAAAAAGGAGCTACAGGAGCCACAGAAAATAGGCAAGGCAAGGCAAGGCAAGTTTATTTGTATAGCACAATTCATACACAAGGCAACTCAAAGTGCTGAACAAGATGCATTAAAATCATAAATAATTACAGAACATTAAAACGAAAGATAAAAATATAAAATCCCTCAGTTGTATGCACAGCTAAACAGCACCGTTTTTAACCTGGTTTTAAACATTGTCAGAGAGGAGGCCTGTCTCACATCTTCAGGAAGATTGTTCCAGATTTTAGCAGCATGAATCTGAAAAGCAGCCTCCCCATGTTTACAGTAGGTCCCATTCCGTTTTGTCGCCTTTCACGCGTGAATCACACGAGACTCACGTGTGATTCACGCGTCTTTTATTTTCCCCCCTCCCAGTGACGTTGCAATGACCAAAACAACCACCAGGTGGCACTTGTGAGCAGGGTTACATTGGCGAGTTTCTGCCCCGCGCACAATCAATCAACAATGGTTAAAACGGGCAACTCCTTGTAGCAGGCCAGTCTCTGGAATAACCCGCAGACATTAAAACTACTGCATATAACGTAAACTTTTGCATCACGTTGGTGATCTTTCCAAAAAGAGAGAATATCGTTATGGAAAGAGAAACTATTGGTAATATAACGCTGAACGTTATCTGACTCAAACAGCTCCGCTGGTGTCTCCTCCCACTCAGAAAAAAAGCAGACGCCTTTTCTCTGGCATCTCTAACATTTATAATAAATACATAAATATAACAATCATAATGAAGATGCTTTCAAATAATTTAGCAAGCTGTAATTCATTTATTTTAACTGCCAAACTTCTCTCGCTGCTCCTCTCCTCTCCTCCGCAAATCACTAAATGAGGAAAAGGGAATATTCACTCAATCTATTTTGAATGTTACACATACAATATTAATATAGTCTAAGCACGTGTACCACATGTAGCCCGTGTATTTACCACAGACTGTAAGTATTAAAGTAATGAGGCCCCTGCTTTAGGCCTCTGCTGTGAGGCCCACACTTTCATCAGTCTCGGTGCCTCTGTGTAGATCACACGTCTGTCCTCGGACTGGAGTGTTCTGAGGCTTTAAGCGGGGAGTCAGGAAGGAGCGATCCTGTTTGTCAGCATGATTTTTTTGTTTAACAGCCTCCCTGCGCGATTGCAAATGTACTCAAGGGACTCCCATACCGTGGCTCACATATATAATATTATATAGGGATCAGGAGCTTTCTGACCCGACCCACACCTGACATGACTCATATTTTTGAGGCATCCAACCCGCCCGAAACCGCGGGACCCGCGGGTTGACTGCGGGTTTCGGGCCGACCCGCGCACCTCGCATGTCCTGTTCAGGGCTGCAGGAGCAATTGTCCATTATTTTAATTGGACTTCTGATCCATGCACACTGTAAAAAAGATAAAGTTAGTTCAACTCAAAATTTCAAAGCAACCAGCTGCGAAGGATTTTTGAGTTGAAGGCATTAACTTAATTCTTCAAGTTTTGAAGAACTACACTTATTAAGTTGTGTCAGTTAAGTTTTCCAAGTTCTGCCAACTAAGTGTTTAAATTCAAGTTACTGGAAATTTCAAGTCTGTAAAAACTTACTTTTTTAAGTTCAGATTACTGTCCCCTACAATAACTTACTATTTTGAGTTTAAATTAGCCCCCACATTAAAAGATCATGATGTTTATTTATATAGCGCAGTTCATGGACCAAGGTCACTTGGGTAGGGGAAACCGGAGCACCCGGAGGAAACCTATGCAGACACAGAGAACATGCCAATTCCACACAGAAAGGCCCTGTTCCGTGTCAAGAAGCGAGAGTGCTATCCACTCAGCCACCGTGCCGCACACACTGTGAACCAGAGGGGAAACTTAATGTTTCTAAGACTGACCCAGAGAATATAAAGGGCTACTTTGGCTTGGCCCTGGCGATTACGGTTGGTAAAAATAAATACAGTGATTTTTTTGGTCAAATTAGTTTGTTCAAAATGTTGAATGCAGCTGGTTGCCATAACACATATTTAAATGAGCAAACGCAGATAAGTTGACCTCACTATAGCTCGGTGAACTGTAAAAACGACAACTCAAAATTGTTCACCTTACTCAGATTTTTGCATTCACTGACAATAAAATTTCCAGTTGGAACTGGAACTATCTTGTGAGCCACTTGAACTTTCAGAAGTTCACTAAAACTTAAAAGTCAAATCAACTTAATATATCAAATAAGATGAACTTTTCATCAGAAACTTCAGAAAGTGAGTGTCGAAAATCAGACGCATAGGCAGGGATCTTTGCACACCAGAGCAACCTGGAAGTTCAATTTGGAGAGACGAGAAAACAGGAAGTTTTGAGTATTTTATTGGGAGGAGGTTTGGCGCCCTAGGCCCCGGTGCGGCCTTCAGATCGGAAAGGCTCCTGCGCTGGAGCGCGCACAATCCCCCGGGACCTAGGCACTGGTGGCGGCATTTGGCAGCAGGAAGCAGATTGGAGGCAGATTGGAGGCAGGGTGAAGAGGAGGAGGAGGGGAGGCGGTGGTTGCGAGGCTTCAGGAGGCAGAGAGTGGTAGTTTTTCCGTTTTTATGCGGCTGGCGTAGTCGGTACGATGATTGGAAGGGGGCGTCTGCTGAGCGATAGGCTGGGATGCGAGCCGGCCTGGAGGGGGTAAATTTGGTTAACGTCTACCAAATTGAACTTTCGCTGGCTGCATTTCAATTTGGAGAGACGAGAAAACAGGAAGTTTTGAGTATTTTATTGGGAGGAGGTTTGGCGCCCTAGGCCCCGGTGCGGCCTTCAGATCGGAAAGGCTCCTGCGCTGGAGCGCGCACAATCCCCAAAAAGGCTGCGTGTTGATGGAGTTTTCGAAGCCTGGTTTGGAGGGGACAGACGTCGTGACTGCTCTATTCTGTGACCGCTATCGCTATGCTGTGACCGCTATCGCTATATGCTGTGACCGCTATCGCTATATGCTGTGACCGCTATCGCTATATGCTGTGACCGCTATCGCTATATGCTGTGACCGCTATCGCTATATGCTGTGACCGCCAGCGCAATGCTGCTAACCATTTTTTGCTATATGCTGTGACCGCTATCGCTATATGCTGTGACCGCTATCGCTATATGCTGTGACCGCTATCGCTATATGCTGTGACCGCTATCGCTATATGCTGTGACCGCTATCGCTATATGCTGTGACCGCTATCTACTGTGATCAATACTTGCGGATACTCGGCTGCTGGCGGCGCCTATCCGGAAGGAGTGAGCTGCGTAGAGATGGGGAGACAGGTTACAAAGCAGCAGTACGGACTTTAGTTGGGCTCTGAACCCGTTGGATGACGTTGGGAGGTGATCGGGGGTGAGAAATAACGGTCCGTTGAGATCTCCTTTCCGAGAGCGGAGGTGAGTGTAATGCATCGTGGGTTATTTTTGCGCGCTGGGAACGTGAACGTTCGCATCACGTTCCGTCAGACGCTGCGGCAGCGGAGAGTGTTTGAGAAAGTGCGTGCCGCCACCAGAATCTTATTGCTTCACTTACTTTGCTTCGTATTGCTTTGCTGGGAGCTTGCGAGAAAGCCAGTAGACGTTGTGCAGCCAGGATGGCGGACGCGTCTGGCCTGATGTAGGCGGAGAAGCCGAAGAGGACCAGCGCCCCAGTTGTTGGAGAGGTGGGGGAGCCCCAGCGAGGCCGCGCGCGTGGCAGCGCCTATCCTGAAGGAGTGGGCTGTATAGAGCTGGGGAGACAAATTGCAGAGGAGCAGTAGGGATCTTAGCTGAGCTCTGAACCAGGTTGCTGACATGGGAAGGTTGTCTGAGAGAGATGTGTCGGAGCGAGCTATTATTATGTTGCAGGCGCCTTGGTCTTTGAATGTTTGAGATGAAGGTTGAAATGGTCAGGGACGTTATGTTGGGTGAAAAAGAGCGACCTTTGTGTAATGCTTCCACTACGTCGAGATTATCGCGCATGACAGGGATCCTCTTTCTCTGCCACGTGTGATTCCACGGCGCGCAGGCCACGACCACTGGGAATATCTCGTGTAGGGCAGAGGAGATGCTCCGGTGGAAGTAGCGGCCACGGCCCGGCAACCCGATGGTCCTGGAAGAACCCCCAAAAACCCACGGAAGGGGCACGTCCGTGTAGAAGCGGAGACCTGTAGGGCAGAGACATATCGGAGAGGGCCATAGATGTTGCAGGCGCCCTTACGCTTAGAATCTTGGGTTGGAGAGTAGATAATCAGGATAGTAGGATGGTCGGGAAGCCGCGTCTCGGACCGCATGAAGGTTGAGTGAGCAGTGGTGAACGCTTATGCAGAGAAGCCATAGAAGGCGAGCAGGAAGATGCTGCGAGGAGGGCAGACATGTACTTGGAAGATGAGCCGGAGTTCGGTGCCGCTCAGAGCTGCTGCAGGATGGGCAGCACGATGGGGGAGCCTGCGATCAGAAGAGTGAAGAATACAGGTATGGATGCCTTTGATTAGGAGTCCGATTGACGGCTCAGCGCAGCTACTCGGCCAGCTGCATCTGATAGAATCAGAAGATTTAGGTAGAGAGATGAAGCATGACCGCCGAAGCGACCCTGGGAGCATAGGTGCGAGTCCAGCGCAGCGCGGCATACTCAGCCGGGCTGCATCCATTAGAAACAGGATAAGCTTCTGAGAGAGTGGGTTGCAGCAGTAGCAGTAGCAGCAGCGGCAGCAGCAGTACCTCAGATAATAACAGCGATAACCTGTATCAAGCCGCGGCAGCAGCAGCAGCAGCAGCAGCAGCAGCATCCTTAGAGATTAACAGTAATAAGCCTGTATCAAGCCACAGCAGTAGAATGTTGTCGTAGCTGATCAGTGTTTCAGTAAAAGAGATGCAAGTGAAGAGAGATGGCAAGTAAAT